TTATCTGAAATATGTCTGACATCTTTTAAAGTTAATATATAGCCCGTACTAGTTTATATAATAATATCACTAATCGTAATAATTTACGACACACTTTTGTTTTCCATCTTGGTACAACCAAAGTCTTTTGCTTTGTAAGTTATAAACAGCTCTTCTTAGGAACCTAATGATATGCCATTCCTATGTTAACTATCCACTCAATGTCGGGATTACCAACATGATTACAATCACCATGTGTACAAATCAAAGTAACTGAATCACTATCTAAATTCACTGTTGCAACATTGCTATCATCTGAACTCTTGCATTTCTCATCTTTTCGTTTTTGTTTCAAGATTTTGCAATATCATTTTATATGACCTGCTTTGCCACAATGGAAGCACTTCACTTTATCTTTAAACTTGGACCTATGTTTAGACTTACTATAACCTTTTGAGTTCTGACCTCTGTTGATGTTTCTACCCCTGTTCTCTGTGACCAAAGTTTGATTCTCAGGGTTTGAATCTTTTTGCCTTGCTTATTTGTTAAGCATACTATCATTTACTATCTCCAATATCACTTTGTAATCAATAGTTAAATTAAGAACAATCACAACTAGAGTATTTCAACTGTTTGGCAATGAACCCAAAAGAAATAATGCCTTCATTTTATTATCCATCTTAAGCTCTACAATAGTCATCCGATTAAATATATCTTAAAAATCACTTAAGTGCTCTATAATCGATCCTCCATCCTTGTATTGTAAAGTTGCAAGCTTTTTAACAAGCATAACTTTATTCATACTTATTTTTTTCTCATACAATGCTATCAATTTTTTTCCAAACAGTGTGGGCATCTGTCTCCTACGCTACATGATGGAAACACGCTGATATCAACCTATTTTTTTATTGTAGCCAGCGTATTTTTGGCTAACTTCTTCCAGCTTTAATCTTTTGTATCTGTTCGTTTAGCCGAATCAAATTTTTTTTAAAATTTTTTCTTTTTGAAAAAATCTGAAAAACTTTTAGATTTTGGCAATATTCAAGTTTTCCAACAACTATTATGACTAAAATTCCAAGTGTCGATGCATTTTTTCAGAAACCAACAACAATCCAACCAAAGTTCATCCTTTTAAAGGGAGGAATAGAGAAAATAAAGGGAAGAGAGAGAAAATAAAAAAGAATTTTGAGGGAAAAAAATAAAGATTTGGGCCTTTTATACAAATCTTAAATAGTGCCATTTTGAATCTTAAAACCCATTTAGGATCTATGTGATTTCCCATTTTTTAATTCGTCATGTGCCCAACTTGACTGACAACCCAATTTCAACACTAAATACAAGCCGAACGAGCTATTAAGGCACTAAGCCAAGACGTATCATCCTGAGTCATTTTTGTGTTTGCAACCGAACTGCACCTTCCAAGCTAAGCCGAGCCATCCCTTTTTTTATAATTTTTTATTTTATTTTATTTGTTTAAATTTTACCTATTTTAATTGATTTTAATTGGTAGGTTTTTTATTTTTATTTATTTTACTTGTGTAAATTTTATTTATTCTAATTGATATTTTAAAAAATTTTTAAAAATAGTTTTTTTTCTTACCAAACAATTGGAGGATTTTAATTTTAAATTATGAATTCTACTGAACGATTGAAAATTTTCATAATGAATTTTGAAAAATAGTTTTTTTTTCCTACTAAATGATTGGATAATATAAAATCAAATTGGTACCATCCTTTGGATGGGAGTTGTAAGGGTACTAAAACCTTTCTCGAACGTAACCATATTCCTAGACCTAAATCTAGTTGTGTGGATTAGAACCTATCTTTTAAAGATATCTAAGTCAAACTTGAGACTTCGCTTTAAAATAGGATGAATTCAATTAGCTGATCAATCGCATATAGATAAAAAATATCAGTAACCACTTCTCTTATTATATCTAGCGGTGAGTTTACAAATTTATACATTATGGCATATACAAGCTTTTATAGTTGGGTAATATTGATTTGCTACTCTACCATGAATCAAGTTGGTACAAGATTCCTTGACTTCTTTGAACCAAGCTCTGATATCAGTTTGTTGTAACTAATCCAAGCAAGTCAAAATGACAGCAAGCAAATTCACCATAAAAGAATTTGAACTCGCAACAAAAAAAATAATTTGTGAAAATAACAAACAATAATTTGTGGTTTGGCTTTAAACCTATGTCCACGGATAAAGATGATGAAAAATTTTACTATAAAAATAAGATGACGATTATACAAAGTTTTGACACCTAAAGGCTAAAGCTCATTAGATTCCACTCTCCAAAAACCTGAGAACTACGACAAATTTTGCTTTTAAAATTGAAAGTAAATTTCACCTCTAGTCACCAATCTATCACCAAAATCCAAAATTGATTACTAAACTTTAATACGTACCAAATTGGTCACGTAAGCAGCCATGTAAGTTATTTTAAACAATTTGCCACATAAGCTTGTCTTTTTTTCACCCAAACCCTAATTTTCTTCGCTTTTCTCAACTTTGCTACATGATCTCTTAACAGCCCCAAAGCACCCTAAAACAAAAGAAATTTGTCATCCTTCCATAGCCACAGCCATCGCTACACTCCTACTTTCCTTTTTTTTTTTTCTCTCAGTTCCTCTCCTCACCGCTGCACTCTCCTGTGTTTTATGCCTTGGTTAAGTGCATTTTAGTATTTTAATAATGGGTTTTTTTCTTTTTGATTCATTTTGAGTATGCTTTGCTATTCATATATTCGTGTTGTGTAAAATATTAAAATTCATATAATATTTTATACGAAAATTACATATCATTTTTATGTTTTTATTTTGTATTTTGTTCGATTCTTATCATCTTACTGTATTTTAGAATGCCAGATTTATAGTGCCTATTTCGATATAGATTCTCTACCTTCCATGGCCGTATCTCCCCGATGGTGTATGCTTATGTCCCTTTTCTTATTTGCCAATGAATATCTGTCAGCGTTTCTATTAAACAATTGACTTAAAATCGATTGGCTTCTCTTTGTGCCAATTGATTTTAAGTTGAATATTTAAAAGTTTACTTCTCTTTCTCATTGCTTGCAAGTAGTCATAACAACTTTTGTTTTTATTGCTAATAAAAGAAAAAGGGCTAATCTTTTATCCTGACTTTTTGTATAAAGAAGGAAGTGTGCATTTTTAACCATTCCTCTTGCTAGGCTTTAAAGTTATAGCCATTACGTAACAAAGAAATTACATAGTCAATTAGAAATTTCAGCGAGTTCAGGCAAGTGTAAATGCAAGTCCTCATAAATCTGGAAGGGATCGAATCGAATCCTTGGTTTTAATTTTAACGATTCATTAATTATATGTACCTTAAGATTTATGGTGGCTGAAATGAGTTAATGTACCCCATAATTTTATGGAGCAAAATAAGTTGTTTGCCTGTTTCAGCAATTCGAAACATCTGCAAGCCCCCAACTAACACAGCATATATAGTAAGAACGAGCAATAGCACGAAAGGTATTTCTTTGTTCTGTTCTCATCTTTTTTATTAATTTTAATTTTGAAATATTAAAAATATTGTTGTATAATTATTTTTCATATTTTAATAATAAAATATTATGAAATGGAAGGCTTGATATATTTTGCAAAAAAGAGTAATTATCATGATTATTTGTTCAAAAACGAACCTCATAACATTTAAAGCTTGTTAAAAGCAAGTAACGTAAAGTTATTAATTTTGGAATGTCGACATTGAACATTGTAAACCGAAAAGGCAAATGCTCAGTATAAATACTAATTTAAAGTACATAAATAAATCAATAGTACAATACCAACTTTTGTTTTTCCTAGTCAAGAAAAGATCATGAAAATAGTCAATTGCATTTTCATTTTCTTCCTCTTTCTTCAATATCAATTCTTCTCACTTGGTTCTGCAGATGTTGTTACAGTACCTCCATTTATAATAAGTAAAAAATCTATTTTGAAATATTTATCCTTAGAGAACATCAACTTTGATGTGCCAGCTTTATACGTATTTGGAGACTCTTATGTTGATGCGGGAAATAATAATTATGTTCATGTCTTTTTTCTTTTGGTTTTGTAACCTGTCATGGTACAACTCCATTGCTCTTTGTAGCAAGTTTTCCCTGCCTTTTTTTTTTTTTCTGATAAAAGAATTTTAATTATTGAAAAAAAAATTAGCAAATTGCCTAAAATCTAGTTATGCAAAAGAGAAGACTAAGAATCAAATTAGAATATTTATTAGCAGCTGGGTCTGTTTTTGAGCAGGGGCTGCTTCAAAAGTAACTGATTGATGGTATCTATGATTTGTTCGCATCAAGCTAAGCATAAAAAGGGAATAAAGCATCATATTTGCAACAATGTGAAATGACTTGAACCACTTAAAAGACAATGAGTAATGAGAGTGTGATCTGATAAGCTTTAAAACACAACTTCCAACAACATTGTTTCACTACATTCTTAAAATTAAATCATTCGAAATTAACTGAAAGTAAATAAACAGTACTCCTAGAGAAGATCCTTAAAGTTGCATTAACTCAAACAAGGTAAATGGAGAACAGACAGAGTGGTCCTTCAAAAAGCGCCTCATCCAAATGAAATGAAAACTCTCGGTCGGATGGAATGGGTCAAAGAAGACATGGCTCGTTCTGTCAGCGCAAGGAGCAACATTTCTGGCGCATCCTCTAGTTCCATTCCTCGCTTCGTCAATGCAACAAGAACCATTGACATTCGTAAACCCTGCATTAACAAAGAACAAATGAACTAAATGTTTCATAATATTTTATTAAATAAGAGAGAAAATTTTGGTGTGGTATTCTTTTCCTAACAATTCTCACCATATGCTGCTGGTTGAGTGTAAACATCTTCAAACACTTTATATAGATCACACAGCACAAATGTGGAACCCTTCAAGGATGTTTCCAACTTTGTCAACAAGTTGGGAAGGAGTCCATTGTAGAAAGCTATTCTCTGGTTAAAATCTTCAACACAGGAAGTATTGTGCATTTTTGTGTTCAGATTGAAGGTTGGCAGCCTAATGGAGAAACATTGTTAACCAGGAATTTCCTTGCTCCCAGTTGGTAATATGCCTGCATCATGATCATTAAAAATGTATAAAATTGAATATACAATTTCAATACTATGTAAAGATAAATTTAAAACAGTCATTTACCTCCAATCTACCGGACAACTCCTCCGATAAGAAGAGTGCATAATCTTCTGCAGTTCGGAACTTTCGCTTTTGTTCAAGATCCCAATATATGCCTAAGTCATTGGTCCCTGTGTGGATAAAGAACAATGACTTAGACAGGTAAAGAGAAAAGCTTTCAGGGCTGTCAAAATGACCCTTCAAGCTTCTTGTTGTGTCGTTCAACAACTCTATTTGTTCATCGAAGCTCAAAATATGTCCCTGGTGTAGTATTATATACAAAAGGTCAATTGTACTCAGAAGTTTAAGTTTTGGTACTCTAAATTTCACACAGTGATTAGGAAAAATAACTTGAAGCAAGAAAAATTGCAAATTTATTTTTGTGGCTAAGATAACTCACAAATATTTCCACAGCAGGAGGAGGCAGAGGCAGTATCCCGCTAGAACCGGAGCCATAATTTACACCACTAACAAAGATTTTCCTCTCGGTTTCAGACAATCCGAGCATTGGGGGTGGAAATGGCAGGCCAGCAACTTGAGCTTCATCATTAAAAGTGAATATCAGAAATCAGAGAAAAGCAAACTTACAAGAAATACAACATGAACCAAAAATCATATTTTTGCCAATATAAAGTAAGCAACAAGCAGCATGGAATACAAAAAAATTACAATCCCTGTACCAATAAAATCCACAACGGTTCTCCCGTTGGTGGCACGACCGGTTGGCACTCCTCCAAAATCAATACCATATGGTAAGAAATTGGCTTTGGTTATTGTGTCAAGAAAATTGTTATTACCAGCATCTATATACGAGTCTCCAAAAACATATAGAGCTGGCAATCGAAGAGACAAATTTTCGGAAGCTAGATATTGGAGGAAGGCAGTTTGATTATCTTGAAATCAGGTGGTAAATAAGATTCAGAATAAATATGAATGACATAGAAGCACTGAAAAAACAGACTAAGCAAACCAAGACAACTAGCAAAAATGAAAGCCATTGAGGTGCTAAAAGTTTCAAACTGTTGTGTGAGAAAGAAAGACGGGACAATTGCTACAGATTTTAAGAATTTTCAAGTGAAGAGAAGGAGAGGGGAAGGGAAGGTGCAGTATATATGGATCTCACAACAAATGCACTACTGAAGGAAGATGCAGTATGTTCCGCTGGCAGTAGACCTATAATTGACACTAATCCGAATAATGAGTAATGACTTTTGACAAACCTAAGTGCATGCCACCCTACATATCTACACTGCTTTGAACTTTTGATTTCCATTGCTAGCCCTAGATATTTTTCTTACTTACTTCAATCACTTACCGTCCAAAGATAGCAGCAAAATAAATTTTTTGTTGACTATAAAAATTATCGAAATCATGCAACATTTTAAAAAAATATCTCATCTAATCACATCACAAGAATGTTAACATCAATAATTATTTATGTGAAAACAAAAGTAATAAAAGAAAACATTTATACTTTATCCTTTGTAATCGGCCCATGCAAAGGGAAAAATATGTACAATTGCCATATCCACGAGAGTAATATTTAAATAAAATATTTTAAATACAGTTGGTAGAATTTTTTATTAAAAATAATTTAATAAAATTATAATAAATATTTTAAAACGATAAATTGATAAAATTCAATAAAAAATTAATAATATGTAAAAAATAATGAAAATATTATTTATAATTTGAATTTGATTAATATTTATTTAATGATAAAATTAATGTCAAATTTTTCACTAAAAATACTTATTTAAAAAATATATCATAATTTATTAATTTTTTAAAAATGTTTATATTTGATCTATATGACAAAAATTTTTATTTTATCGATTTTGAGTTTTAATTCTGATTTTTATTTAATTATTTTTAATAAAAAATTGCATCTAAAAATTTTATCTAAGTCTTTTCTATCCATGATATATATATATATATATAGATTAAATAATTTTTAATAATAATTTGATAATTTTAAATATAGTATAATAATATAATAAAAAAAATATGAAAGCGACGTACCATTTTTGTGCTTGTCATCTTAACGAAACACTCTATTCAGCAATAGCACGTCATTGCATCAATGACAGTACTGTTTGCTTCCTCTTAATTTAAAGCAGCTAGTTAATTAAGACGTGAAGATGCATACAATAATTCGATCACAGGATTATCAATTTTAATTTGGAAAAGATATAGTTGCTAGATTTTAATGGAAAAGATATACTTAAGTGATGCCTATGCAAATTAGATATTATATGTATTATAATGCTTAAAATGAATCAGTTTAAATACTCAAGTTGTTGTTACTTAGAAAGAGGTTTAATCTCATCCTTGAACACGAAATGATATATCTTGATGAATAATTAATTATTATGAAGAGTCAAATATGATTGATAATCCGATTTGATTTCGTCAGTAATTTAAAATAAGTTTCTGTTGTGATTTTTTTTTTCCTTTTGAATGCAATAATTAATGATGCAGATAATTATAGAAGTGAAAACAGAAACAAAATTCGAATGAAACAATTTCAAATTAATTATTAAATCTCGTAAAAAATAAAAAAATTCATGTGATACTCATGAAATTCTGTATGGTGTTGGTTGTACTTTCATTTCAGTTGTGTCCTATTCTTGGCATACTTGGTCATTAAAAATATTTTCTCCGCTGAAGAAGAAAATGCTGGCTGGCTTGATTTGATTTCAGGTCAAAAGATTAAACCACAATCTATGCATTAAGGGGAAAAAAACTATGCATCATTGCGACTGATAATCAAATTTTTTTTTCCACTCTTTTCAAGCTCAATTGGCCTTTGATGTTCCACTCTTCTAACTTTTTCTTACACAAATAATATTTTCATTTGGAAAGATGAGGAGCAACTTGATTTCGTCGAACGTATTCTTAGTTGCTTTCCTTCATATCTTCTTGCTAATTCACAGTAAGCCTCTTGTACCGGCTCTGTATGTGTTCGGAGATTCATTGTTTGACAGTGGCAACAACAATCTTCTTCCAACTGTTGCCAAGGCAAATTACCCACCTTACGGCCTGAATTTTGGCGAACACTTGACCGGTACGTTCACTAATGGAAGGACTCTTCCAGACTTTATAGGTATTGAAGATTTTAATAAGTTAAAATCAATTCTTCATGATTAAACTATTATTAATTACCATATGTTTCTAATTTTTATCCTTTTTTTTAATTGAAGCTGAATTCCTTGAGCTGCAATACTCTTTGTAGACACCCATATGTGTCCGAGGTCAGTTAGGTCGATTTGTTTTAGTTTGTGTATTTATATTATTTGATATTTTATTATAGTTGTCATAACGTCTAGATCCGGGGATCTATTGCTAGACATTGACTTTTAGGGAGTCGCCACCAATCTTTTTTATCTAGGTGCGATTGGTCACTTAAAGAATCTGTCCTTTTAGGGAACGCCTAAGTTTAAGGACCCCTAAAAGAATAGGTTCAGGTCTACTAACCAGAACAGGCAGGGTTCGGGAGTTCGATTACATGTGAGAAAGGTTATAGCACCCTCACAACGCCCATCAAAAGATGGTACCAGCTTAAATTTGTGTTATCCAATGAGCCTTAAAATTTTATCAAGTAATTAACTATTAAAATTATTCTCAATTGACTCTAATATTTTTAGCAGAAAACTGAAAAAATTCCCTCACCTCAGGAGTATGCAAGAAAACTATTGTTTCACTTGCAGAGGCTCTATCATCGGATTAGTTAAAGAAAAATCAAAATCAAAATCAAAATAGAAAGGAAGGAAAGAATGATTGTTCTTGTGTAGGGAAAATTGATACTTTCAACTTTTCCCTAAAAATATTTTTTGAAAATTTTGATTTTCAAGGAAAATTGATACTTTCAACTTTTCCCCAAAAATATTTTTTGGAAATTTATTTTTAAGAAAAATTGATACTTCTAACTTTTCCTCAAAAATATTTTTTTTTTGAAACTTTGATTTTCAAGGAAAATTGATACTTTCAACTTTTCCTCAAAAATCCTTTTTTTTGAAAATTTATTTTTAAGGAAAATTGATACTTTCAACTTTTCTCCAAAAATAGTTTTTGGAAATTTATTTCTAAGGAAAATTGATACTTTCAACTTTTCCTCAAAAATATTTTTTTTGAAACTTTGATTTCTAAGGAAAATTGATACTTTCAATTTTTTTCTCAAAAATCCTTTTTTGAAAATTTATTTTTAAGGAAAATTGATACTTTCAACTTTTTCCCAAAAATATTTTTTTGATTTTTATTTAAAGAAAATAGAACAAAATAAAAGTGAAAATAAATAAAGATAAAAAAAATAAAGAAAAGTAAAACAAAAATAAAAATAAGATAAAGATAAAAAATATTAAATAAATCTAGTCTAATAGAAAAAATAAATAAATAAAACAAATAAATAAAAAAAATTTCAAAAAAAAAAACCTGGAGCGGCTCGGCTATCGGCTCGGCTCAAGGAAAAGAAATGGCTTGGGGGGCGGCTTGGGAAGCTCGGCTTGGCTCAGCTTGGCTCGGAGGGGGGCAGGCATGCGCGGGTCAGGAAGCAGGTGGATGCTCGGGTCGGGTCGGGTCTCGGTAAAACGCACGGATCCTCTGGGTCACTTAAGGCCAAAAGAACGTCATTTTGGAAGGGTATATAGGTCCTTCCCTCTGTTTTTCGGCAGAAAGCTCCTCCCCTCTCTCTCTCTTCTTCTCTTTTTCTCTCCCTTCTCTCTAAAGGCTGAAGAACTCCAGTTGAATTTCGTCGGATTCTGGAAATTGTCACCAAAATCTGGAAAATTTCACCGGAAGTTGGCCGGAAGGTTGTCGGTTTCTGGAATTCTTCGCCGAAAACTGGGCAGCTCACCGGAAACTTCAAATTTGGTCGGAATCTTCACTGAAAAATTCAAACTTCGTCAAAAAATTCAACCGGAATCTGAAATTTTTCAAAAATTCTCAGAAAAGATTCGTCAAAAAATCTTTAAAAAAAAAATTCTACTAACTCTCAGAACACTCCTAAACCTTTTCTTAGCTTTCTATACGCTTCCTTTTCTCTTAAATCAATAGCTTTGCTCACTATTTTTTTCTGTCCCTGCTTCTGTTCCCAGAGGGTCCCTTTTATAGGGATTGATCAAGAGTTCCTGATCAATCCCAATTCCTCCTTGAACGGGGGTTCAATATTTGAATCAAATCTGGACTCTTTTGATTGAATTCCCATTCATAATGGGATTCTTCAACTTTCAATCACAGCCATCAAAAAAGAAAACAAAAATAATAATAATAATAATATAATAATCAGATAAACAAAAATCATATAAACGGAACAAGAAAAGAAAAAAAATTATTAACAGATAATTAGAAATACAATAAGATAAATCCAAAAAAATATTACAAGAAAAAAAAATAATAAATAAATTATAATATAATAATAAATATAACTATATAAATAAAATACATATAAATATTAGCAACAAAAATAAATAAATAAATAAAGATATACATATATTAATACATAATAATAATAAAATACATAAAATACAAAAGAAAAAAATAAAAATAATACAAGATACAAATTGAATTGGGCTTACCCATTTGGGCCAGGCCCAATTGATCTGGGCCTGGACCCAATTTGGTGTCTACAGCTGCCCCTTTTTGCACATTTTCTGTGAAACAGAAATTGTGCAAAGACGTAGACACCCAATCAAGACTCAACTCAACATTGTCATTTTTTGTTTTTTTTTTTTTGTGTTTTTTTTGTTTTTGTTTTTTTTTTTTACCAAAGCTCCTCTAAACAGAGGCTCAACGACTTTGAGAAACATAAATTGCTCCTCTAAACAAAGGCACCACGACTTTGGAAAATAAATTGCTCCTCTAAACAGAGGCACCATGACAGAGGCAACGAAACTTTGGAAAATAAATTGCTCCTCTAAACAGAGGCACCACGACTTTGGAAAATAAATTGCTCATTGACAATCATGTCCAAAAGGAGTTGACAGTTGTGTTTGAAGGAATTTCAGGAGATTATGCCCAAAGGTCTTATAAATCAACCTTGATACCAGAAGACATCCTATTTCAAGGATTAGGGACTTACCTGACAAGCTTTTTCTTTTTCAATTTTGTAAAATATCTTCATATCTGTCTTCTCCATGTGGGATGTTGGAACACCCTTGCTTCTTGAATTTTATACACTATACTTTCCTGAAACTAGTGTAAGCTATGCAAATGCATATGAATTTCAATGCATGCTATGCAAATGTTGGCCAAATAATTCCTATTCAATGTATGGTACTCAAGTTTCTCAAGCTCTTTTTTTTTTTTCTTTCTTGGGTGTCAAGCCCTTTGATTCCTCAAGGATCCAATTGCACAGCTCTTCTAATAATCAATTTTGGATTTTGGTGATGGAAGGTGACTAGAGGTGAAATTTACTCTCAATTTTAAAAGCAAAATTTGTCGTAGTTTTCAGGTTTTTGGAGAATGGAATCTAATAAGCTTTAGCCTTTAGGTGTCAAAACTTTGTATAATCGTCATCTTATTTTTATAGTAAAATTTTTCATCATCTTTATCTGTGGACACAGGTTTAAAGGCAAACCACAAATTATTGTTGGTTATTTTCACAAATTATTTTTTTGTTGCGAGTTTAAATTCTTTTATGGTGAATTTGCTTGCTGTTATTTTGACTTGCTTGGATTAGTTACAACAAACTGATAGCAGAGCTTGGTTCAAAGAAGCCAAGGAATCTTGTACCAACTTGATTCATGGTAGAGTAGCAAATCAATATTACACAACTATAAAAGCTTGTATATGCCATAATGTATAAATTTGTAAACTCACCGCTAGATATAATAAGAGAAGTGGTTACTAATATTTTTTATCTAGGTGCGATTAATCAGTTAATTGAATTCGTCCCATTTTAAAGCGAAGTCTCAAGTTTGACTTAGGTATCTTTAAAAGATAGGTTCTAATCCACACAACTAGATTTAGGTCTAGGAATACGGTTACGTTCGAGGAAGGTTTTAGTACCCTTACAACTCCCATCCAAAGGATGGTACCAATTTGATTTTATATTATCCAAGCCTTAAAATGTATTTGTAATTTTATCAAATAAATTTAATACTGAAACTTGATCTTAAAGTTATTACAATTATTCGGTAGTAATTTAAGATAATTTTCTTACCTCGAGAATATTTGTGGAGACTCATATCCCACTCTAAAAGGACTCCATCATCGAATTCATTAATATGTTTTTCAAGAAATTAATATTTAAAAACAATCATTAAAATCCTCTAATCATTTGGTAAGATTTTATTTTGATGCACATTTCCCAATAGTTTGGTCAGATTTTTATTTAAAAACTTTTTCATGAAATTTTTTTAAAAAAGTCATTAAAATATTCCAATAGTTTGGTAAGATTTAATTCCATATTTAAATTCTCCATTCGTTTAGTAGGATTAAAATTTTCTTTTTCTCAAAAATTCATATGAAATTCTCCAATCATTTGGTTTTAATTCACAATTCAAGATTTAATTCCTCCAATCATTTGATAGAATTAAAAATAATTTAATTTTCACAAAAATTTATTTGAAATTCTCTAATAATTTAGTTAGAATCTATAATTTAAAAATTAAAAATTCTCCAATCATTTAGTAGGAAAAAAAAAACTATTTTTCAAAATTCATTATGAAAATTTTCAATCGTTCAGTAGAATTCATAATTTAAAATTAAAATCCTCCAATTGTTTAGTAAGAAAAAAACTATTTTTAAAATTTTTTTAAAATATCAATTAGAATAAATAAAATTTACACAAGTAAAATAAATAAAAATAAAAAACCTACCAATTAAAATCAATTAAAATAGGCAAAATTTAAACAAATAAAATAAAATAAAAAATTACAAAAAAAAGGGATGGCTCAGCTCAGCTTGGAAGGTGTGGTTCGGTTGCAAACACAAAAATGACTCAGGATGATACGTCTTGGCTTAGTGCCTCAACAGCTTGTTCGGCTTGGATTCAGTGTTGAAATTGGGTTGTCAGTCAAGTTGGGCGCATGACGAATCCAAAAATGGGAAATCACATAGATCCTAAATGGGTTTTAAGATTCAAAATGGCACTATTTAAGATTTGTATAAAAGGCCCAAATCTTTATTTTTTTCCCTCAAAATTCTCTTTTATTTTCTCTCTCTTCCCTTTATTTTCTCTATTCCTCCCTTTAAAAGGATGAACTTTGGTTGGATTGTTGCTGGTTTTCTGAAAAAATGCATCGACACTTGGAATTTTAGTCATAATAGTTGTTGGAAAACTTGAATATTGCCAAAATCTAAAAGTTTTTCAGATTTTTTCAAAAAGAAAAAATTTCAAAAAAATTTCAAAAATAATTTGATTCGGCTAAACCAACAGATACAAAAGATTAAAGCTGGAAGAAGTTAGCCAGAAATATGCTGGCTACAATAAAAAAAAAAAGTTAATATCAACGTGTTCCATCATGTAGCGTATAAGACAAATGCCCACATTGTTTGGAAAAAAATTGATAGCATTGTATGAGAAAAAAATAAGTATGAATAAAGTTATGCTTGTTAAAAAGCTTGCAACTTTACAGTACAAGGATGGACGATCGATTATAGAGCACTTAAGTGATTTTCAAGATATATTTAATCGGATGACTATTGTAGAGCTTAAGATGGATAATAAAATGAAGGCATTATTT